CCGATTTCAATAATTCGTAAATGCGTGATTAATAGTGTTCCAAGACGTGGAACAGATTTTAAGAAATGCCGAGATTTTGACTTTTCGAGGGCTGCAAAATGGATGCCGACAGAAATTTTGGGTTTTCTGATTATGCGTGTCTCAGAAAATGCCATTTCCTGGATTCAAATTTAAAAATTTTCCGTGCCTTCGGCACGAGCCTCCCCCCCCCCATTATTTCATAAAATGTCCGCCACTTGCACACACGGTGGCTTAAAAGGTCTTAAAACTGTTTATTCTACCGATAAATAAAGGGTTTTTTATTGACTGGGATTTCAGTAACTCGGACTGGGATTTCTAATAAAAATCCAACTGGGACTGGGATTTTGCCAAAATTTCAGGTGGAAAATGGGGTTGGGACCCCCCCCCCCCTTCAGGACCCTTAATATAGGCTAATGACTCGGCACAATTACCAAACAACAGTTGGCAAAAGATCACTCGCACCCCCCCCCCCAACTCGAAGAGGGTTAGCGCCGCCCCTGAGAGCGAAGTTTGGCACGAATCAGCTGAAATCTATGAAGATCCCGTCTATGTTTTCTAAGATATACCAATAATTCTGGAGATTTTCAACTACATTCAAAGCTTCGTCCAAGCTGCATCTAGGCGTCTCCATGCAAGTAGTGATTCACACGAAATTTCCTTTCTCTCGTCTTGAACAATATGGCTATTGCCTTTAATATTTAGTTTAAATATGCTCTTATAGATCTGACTTAGTTCGATATAAATAAACACAAATATAAACTGACCTCGCGTAACCTGTTTACGCTGTACAGGAATATACGGATTCGCTTGTTTCGCCGGACACCAACACTTGCCGTTCAGGAGCAATGCTTGCCTACAAATTTTATCCCCTTAACAATCTTTGTTTTATTTTATTGTATAGACCCAATTTTCAAGTATTAATTTGGAGTATTCTGAAACTGCAAAACTCGGTGGCGTGCGAATCTTGTAGAGACTACATCGCCATCGGCCTAGGCGTAGACAACAGGGCCTAAATTAATTTAGTAGTTTGTCTTGCTTTTATTTGTCAGTACAGAATGTTGTAAATTAAAATATTACTACTATGCAATACGCGTAGTATTTCAACAGACATTTGCACTAATAAATACTGTACAAGGAAAACTACAGCTTAAATAATAGTAGACGTTTCTTGTTTTGTCAGGAAACATCACAGCTCACTTCGACACGGCTTTTGTCTTTTGAGTTTAGTAACCAGCCGAGGCGAAAGTAAATCATGCAGTCGGGAAAACGTCTTACTTTGAAAGATTATTTTGCAAAACATACTCGTACACACAAGAATCATAAAAATACAAATGTTGAATTGTTATTGTCAACTGTCAAGTTCAGTTATTTTTAGACAATATGGTGTTAGCCAATCAGAATGCAAAATTGACTGGCCCAGACCAGGGCTTTCTTGTATCTCGCCTCGTCCTCACACTGAAGCCCTGGGAACGAGGTTGTGAATGCACTTAGAGAGCTTTTAATCTAACTGATTTAATGATGGCGATTTTGGACTTGAATTCCTGATCAACATTCTAAATGTAATTTAATTTGTATAGTACCAATGCTTTAGTTTGCTTAACTTATCTAGAAATAAACTCCGCGAGGGTGTCTATAAACCAACCTCGTTTCCAGGGTTTTCCCTCCTGTTGAGGGAAAACAATGATGGAAGCTGGTCACGTGGGCCCGGATTGTTCCATTTGGAAATATGCCAGTGGAATTCAGTAAATATGTTATAGTGAATGCAATATGATTTTCGCAAAAATAATATTCTAAAATACTCATCAAAGTCCATATAATAATGAAATTATTAAATACTACAAGTTATTTATTAGAACCAAATTGTAGTATGAATTACATAGAATTACATAGAAACTGAATTACATAGTAGAATTTTACAAAATGTACACAAATTATTGAATTATACAGTTATAAACTATTCAATCGTTCAGTATTTGTTGATCACGTATTACTGGGCTCAAATCTTAGGTCGTAATTAGGATTTTACAAAACGGACACTATAATTATTGTATTTTATATTATATTTATAAAATTTTTAAATCGTTCTTGTATTTGTTCTACGCATATTATTGGGCTCAAATCTTAAATCAAATCTTAATGGCGTCATTATTAAGCTTTAGGTTGTTAATGAAAGATTCGCATGAATTATATGTCTACGCATACATAACGTTTGTAATCTTGTATAGTCCAATGCGTCCGAATATGACATATCGAGAATAATAATATGAAACGCTCTCCTCTGGATGGATTCAATCAATCAATTCTTCGTTAACGTTGACCATGCTGGAGAAGCATACTCTATACAGGATCTAATAAAGGTTGAATGTACAAGATAACTAGATTTTTGACACTCAATCCAGCCTTTTTTAGCTGACGCAAAGCGTAAAGCGTAGAGTCTGGAATTCGATTTTTTAATGACATAAACAACATGGTCGCACCAAGAAAGATTATTTTTCAGCATTATTCCGAGAAGCTTAAATCAAGACATGGACTGCACCAAAACGCCGTCAATATAGATTGGGTATCGTGTGGAAGATTATATTGAAGGGAGGTTATAGACATTAGACATTTCCTTACATTTCTTGCAATTAAGTTTCGTTCCTCTAATATATTGACGCGAATTGGGAAACTTCATTCACTAGAATGGGCATAAGACTGGGGGAGCAACACTGAATAACTTCCATGCAAGGCACTGAAGGCAGTCGTTTCCTCGACAAACTTAATTCGCGTGTTCCAATCCTTTAAATGGAATTCACTAGAATTGCGAACAGAAGGGGCCCGAGCTTAGTTCCTTGAGGCAAACCATCGTTCATCCGTTTCCACGATGATAAAGTAGAAGAACCAACTTTAGCGCACCGTTCGCGGCAGGAAAGAAAGGATCCTATCCATCTTATTATTGCTGAATTAACTTGAAGCTTTTGGAATTCGTCAATGATGACATTGTGGTCGACCAAATAAAAACCCTTCTTAAAATCTGTAAAACATATTCTGACACAACATTGCTGCGCTCAAGGCGGAAAGGATCAAATGCAGAAAGGATAAAATGGAGAAGATACACAAGGACTTGGGTTGTCGACGTCTTTGGAAGGGCAAATTGCTAAGAATCCAATTTGTGAGTTACTTCAGACGTGAGAGATTTAAAAACAAAATCTTGCTGTTCAAATTATCGGTCTTAAGGTGGCTCGCTACAGTTTATAGAAATGTTAAAAATGCGTAAACTAGATCACCTTTTTGAAGAGATGATGCTCTTTACAAATCGAAATTTGTATATTATATATACAGCGACAATCAAACAGTCGAAAATTGCCCGGAAAAGTGACGTCACCACTGTTGCTATGGCAACAATGACGATTCAAGATGGCCGATATTTTGGCTTTGAACGCATTTTGCCGCTTTAAGAAAAGGTCGGGTACCCCCATTTATTATTTCAGAAAACATTTTCTTATTGCACAATACACTATTTGACCAATTTTAGAAAAATTTTGTAATGCCAAATTTTTTAAAAATTTATAAACATAGTTTTTCGAAATATTTTTTTTTGCATTACAGAATTTTTTTAAAATTGGTCAGATAGTGCATTGCACTATAAGAAAATGTTTTCTGAAACAAAAAATGGGGGTAACCGACCTTTTTTAAAGTAAAATGCGTTCAAAGTCAAAATATCGGCCATCTTGAATTGTCATTGTTGCCATAGCAACAGTGGTGACGTCACTTTTCTGACCAATTTTCAACTGTTTGATTGTCGCTGTATATATAATATACAAATTTCGATTTGTAAAGAGCATCATCTCTTCAAAAAGATGATCTAGTTTACGCATTTTCAACATTTCTATAAACTGTAGCGAGCCACCTTAAGATATCTTCGATGGACGAGGGAAGTGACACTTTAGGTATAGGTACTGCAAAGGAACGCTTCAACAGGTCGGGAAAGACTCCCTGACTCATTGAGGCGTTATACCTATCAGTAATGATCGAAGAAAATTCGAAGGCAAAATTCTCAAGAATTTTATTGGGAATCATGTTGGGGCCGGGAGACTTGATGGTCTTAAGATGCTTCAACTCTGAAAAAACTTGTTCTGTATGGGCAAGTAAACTATCAGAAACTTCAAATTCTGGACATTAATATGCCTCGGTAAAGGTCCAAAATGCGAGGTTAGTCCGACAAGAATATCGCTATATGACTCAGCCAAATCTTGGAACGTTGGGATTATGTCAGAAAGCAACTGATGGGCCCATGCAGGACTCTTTCGACTTGAGGCCACCCAATGATTTAACCTCCTTCCACCATCTGGAAGGATTAAAATTTTTCAACTTTTCATTTAGACGTCATTGTTGCCATAGCAACGGCAGTTGCATAACAATTGTGAGAAATGTCGTTGTGAGAGATGTTGTTTAACCGATAAGCAATATGAATTTTGTTTTCGAACTAGTAATACTTGTCCAATTAAAATACGGATCTGAATTTCCATTCCTTTATAAAACTGTATCGAGCCAACAATTACAAGAGGTAGCAACCTCACGGAGGGTCATTGCAGTTATACCGTAGTTAAAATTTAAAGTTAAGGACAAGTGATCAACATTTTTCAGTAAGACAATAATGAAATAGAATAGAATAGAAACTTTATTTTACGAGGGGAAAACGTATTAACCTTAAATGTTATCTAACATAGGGCCCTCGCACTATTTTTATATATACAGGTATAAAAAGTATTAAAGATTACGACTATTTACATATGAGAAAAAAAAAATAGTAATGAATACAATTTGCAGTATGGACGTGTGCATTTGAGCTCGTCGAATCTTCATAAGATATTTTCGCTTTAGGTAATTTCAAGTCCTCTACAGTATATTAATACTAATGCTTGATAGCTCTTTAGTTTGTTGTTCCTGAAGCTTTTACATTTACTCATTTATCTAAAATCTGTCCAAAACATCTCGAAATGCAACGTGTCACAAAGTCGAATCAGTCAAGCGGTTCTATTAACGATGAGCTTCGTGGCTATTTTGAATCGGAATCCTTTATGGATATTATGAGGAGAGTGGTTTCGAATATGGTTGCGGAAGAATCTTTTGAACTTGCTCTCAAAAAAGGTGTAGATGCAGCAGTGGCGAGCGCCGTTGAGCCTTTTAACAAGAAGCTAGCTGAATTTGAACAATACGTGCCACGAGAAACCGATTTAGAAAAGAAGATTAACGACCTTGAATCTCGTCTGTCGGCAGCGCAAGAGGAAGCTAAACTTGCTATAAATAAAGCTAATGATAACGAACAATACTCTAGAAAATATAATCTGAGATTTATCGGCATTGAAGAGAAGAAAGATGAAAATTGCACTGAGTTAATCGTTGCATTCTGCAAGGAGAAATTGGGGATCGTCGTGCCTGCTAACGCTATTGACCGTGCACACCGAGTTGGAAAAAAATCTGAAGGGAAAACCAGAACCATATTAGTGAAATTCATGAATTATAATTCTAAATTGATGGTTTGTATTCAGAAAAAAACTTTTAAAGGATTCCGAGTTTTATATCAATGTGAAATTGTTCAGTCATGCTCGCAAATATGCGAGCAATATTAAGTCGACTTGGTGTTCGGATGGTAAACTTTTTGTTCGTGGTGAGTTAGACAATAAAATCTATCTGATTAGGAACATGGAGGATTTTGAACGCTATGATTTTTGTTAACTGCATGGTATGTTATGGGCCCTTAGCCATATATCTTTGAATTCCTGAGATTTGCATGATAACTTGTTTGCTATGGTTAATAATCATGGCATTGTTTTGTTGCTAGTTTAATAATGTATATCGTATTTGTAAAAATCGTTAAGTGTCTGTTTTATGTATATTGTAAATTTGTAATAGTAAGCCCTCTAGATGAGCATTATATGCTCTTAGGGCAAACTATTTTATTAAATATTTATTAAATCAATTACAATTTAGTAAATATTTACAATTAATACAAAATAGATCTTCGATATGATTAGTAAGATTAAGCTTGTTAAGAAAGATTTTACGAATTATTTTTTTGGCGTTAGTATATGAAGAGCAAGATGGCGAAGCAGCAAGTTGCTTACAATCGCTATCTAAGCAAGTGAAAAGAATGGAAGCACTGTACAGAAATGTTTGTTTACCAGAGTCAGTACACGGGAAGGGAAAGGGGTGGGGGGGGGGGAGGTTGAAGGTCATATGCGCAAGCTTTAGTCAAAAAGTCCGTTGTCGAATAGAAGATAAGAGTTTAAACATTTGTTTAAATGAAGATGGAGCACTGGAATTTGTGAGAATGTTAATTAGTAAGAGATGCTTTCTAAATTTAAGAAGATCAAAGATTGGGATTATTCGAATCTGGGAAAAAAGAAGAACAGAAGGAGTAGAAAATTCAGCATCTAGAATAATACGTGTTGCACGCTTTTGCAGTTGAAGAATGGGCAGTAAAAGTGTTCTTGGGCAGTTTCCCCAAGTTACAGAGCAGTAGATAAGACTTGAATTAATACAGGAGTTATAGAAACGAAGAGCACAGTCCTTAGTTAAAAAGGGTTTAATCCTGCGTAATAAAGCAAGTCTACTATTGATTGTTGAACACAAGTTGTCAATATGCTTGGTCCAAATTAAAAACTCGTCAAGCGTTAAACCCAACACTTTTGCTTGCTTCACCTGTGCAAGTATGTTGCCATTAAGAATAACTGATAGAGAACGGTCTGAAGTATTCTTAAGTTGTTGGGGAGAATGAATGAGCATGGTCTTGGTTTTCAATGTATTAGTCACCATTCGGTTTTGTTGAGTCCATGTTGAGAGATCTTGAGCAACAAGGTTAAGTTTCACATTTAAATCATGAATGGAAGAACCTTCTGTTAGAACGGTGGTGTCATCTGCAAACATTGTGGATTCTGAATGTGAAAGTTGAGAAGGGAGATCATTGATAAATAAGATAAAAAGAAGGGGCCCAAGAATACTTCCTTGAGGAACACCTATTTTAACAGGACGCATATCGGATAATGTGTTTTTGAAATAAGTGCGTTGATAACGATCACTAAGATATGACGTAAACCATTTCAATACTAATGAAGAACATCCGAACATTCTAAGTTTCAGAATTAGGATTTCACGATCAACAAGATCAAAAGCCTTTTTGAAATCAACAAGAAGAAGTCCATTTAATTTTTTGTTATCAATATTAGTTAAAATTTTATCAGTAAGATGAGTGACTGCTAATTCACATGAGCGAGATGTTCTAAACCCAAACTGATTTTCAACAAGAAGATTATA